TCCGTCTCCTCTCACAAGTGCCCAGCACAGCACCTGACATGTGGTGGGTGCTCCAGACATCTGGTGTGCACTGAATAAAAGTGAAGGTAATATCCCTAGAGAAGACCCCACTCCTTTGCCTCTTAACGTCTCCTGCCTGCAATGTTGTGATCACAGTATGATCAAGTCCCTCACCAAGAATATTAGTGTAGCATACACAGCAGTGAAGAGGAAAACCATCAGCTTTGGAGAAACACAAGTTTTAAATCCTTACGATTAGTCTGATTCAACCACAATGTATAAACAAATGGATGGTTACCAGCTAAACAGACATTTAGTAAAAAGACCACAGGCTTCCCTCAGAAAACCCAACAAGGTGACCTTAGACAAGTCACTTAATCTCTCTCGACAGCTCTTGTAAAAAGTCCTCCACTCTTGGAGGCCACAACTCTAGACGTCACATCCATGTTAGTTTTATACATTAGCATTCTTACTTAGAAATTAATTGGAGTGAGGTTTGAATTGAGCACATTCCCCCAAGGGCTTAAGCACTTGTTGAGAAACTAAAACAAAATCAATGATGAGGCTAAAAAGCCTGACAATCATTCTGGCCTATTACAGAGGTAAGTTCTGTATCTGAAAGACCTACCTGCATGCCATGGCAAACATTTATTTACCAAACATTTGCTCTTCCCATCTTCTATAAGTTGTCTTCCTTCCCGTTGAAGCCCCAGATCCCAGCCCGCTTCCCCTTAGCTCAGGATGACATGTATAAACCTCGATTACCTGACTGCCGGGGAATCTTATTTTTATGGGGCTCCTGTATGTACGAAATTTGTTGTGCTTCTGTTATTCTGTCTTATGGAAGTTCAAATATTCGACCAGCCAAAAAACTAGAGAAGAAGGGAAAAGTCTGCTCTGGGAAGTGTGTAACCCAAGGGTTCGGGGAATTCACTTTGGTCTATAGAGGGGAGCTACAGAAATCATAGAGAGGAGGATAAAGCCTCCAGGGGGTGGAAAAGCCAGGTAGCCATTCCACTGACTGATGTGAGTGCTGCCAAGTTAGCAAATGGCAGGTGGAAAGGCAGAGAACAGAGGGTCCCACGGGTGCTGCATGTCCTGGAGACCTAAGCTGATCGTGCACTTGTCCGCAGAGTGGCCACACTCTCCCGACCATGGTAGGAGATAAAAGAGCCCTATTGTGATTCAGAACTCTCCTTTTCTCTATTCCCTTGGAGAACAGAAAATTCTTTGGGGTATTAGAAGTAAAACATAAGAGAAAAAAAATTCATTTAAAATTGTTGGTGATCACCATCTATCCCTCACATGGGTTAAACTAAGGTTTAGAGATAAGAACTCAACTCTCAAAAACACTGTGTAATACTCTAAACCACTAGTGTAGAGATTTATTAGTTTTTATACTTTCCAAAGTGTTACACTTTCCAAGATCTCAGACCAGAAAACAGAGAAGCCAAGATTCAAGCGATGTCTGTTTGACTCCAAAACCCTCCCAACAACCCTGTTGGGAAGGTGTCATCACCCCCATTTTACAGATGAGGTCACTGAGGCACAGAGAGCTTATGTGACTTATTACACAATTCGTAAGTGTTGGAGCCATAATTCTAAGCCAGTCACTCTGGCCCTAGTCTGCTGTTTAAACCCTGCCATATTATATAAGGGCCCAAAATATTCTGGGGCCTATGGGAAAGTGGATTGAAAAGCTTGGCTTTGATGGAAAAACTAAAGTAACTGGGAAAATGTATATCCTAGAAAGGATTTTGTTTCTAAGAAATGGAGCCAAAACGTATAGATCTGTTTGTTTGGAGGCAGCAAAGTGCCAAAGTTATGCAATGGGTTGCTAGTGGGTGAGCAGCCCGGCTAAATCCTTACCAATAAATCCTGTGCAAGTGTGTCCGAAACATAGTCTGTTCATATTAAAATACATGTGCAGGGGCGCCTGGGTGGTTCAGTTGGTTAAGTGTCTGACTTGGGCTCAGGTCATGATCTCAGGGTCCTGGGATGGAGCCCCACCTTGTGCTCCCCATTCAGCAGGGAGTCTGCTTCTCCCTCTCCTTCTGCCCCTTCACCTGCTTGTGCTTTCTTTCTCTCAGATAAATAAATAAAATGTTTTAAAAAATGTACAAACTGGAGGAACTTATGAAAAATATGGCACACAATGGGAAACTAAAAACAGAAGGAAAAAAGCAAGTTATATAATTCACATAGAGCAAGGAATATAAAAATAATTATCTGTGGTGAAAAATACATACAAACTTTAAAAAATCTTTTAAAAGTTTGAAATGCCACCTTGAATTAACATCTATTTTTTTAAAAGTTGTGTTGTGTTCTCTTTCATTTTCTTGTTTGTTTTTAAACTTAAAACACATGATTACTTTGTCAGGTTTCAATTTTTCCCATGGAAAGCCAAATGCCAACCAAATATACATCATTCTAAACTCAAAACTCATAGATTTAGAGAGTAAATATTCAATTCTGTGGAACTGGGTATATGGAGTAACTTGTTCATAATAGTTTACAAAGCCCTATGTGGTCTATGAATGGTTTGAACTGCGACACCAACCCTACAAGCTGCTTCCAGGGACAAGGCAAAGAATTTTAAATCTTTCGAAAGAAAGTGTGTCATAGGAACAGATAACTTTCTAGAACATTCATTTTAGAAAACACGGAGATAGCCTACTTCAAACATAACAGTACTGAGTATCTTCCAGTTGGCCCTCCAGACTTGGCTCTACCTTCTCCCCCTGGCCCTAGGCCATGTGGGGCTCCCTTGTATGGATCCCACCAATGGTTACCTGGACCCCCACCTCTGGTTGGGTTCAGCCAGTGAAAACCACCTGTAGGAGATGGGAGGAACAGAAAGATGGGTGTTGTGAGTGTTTACTACCCAGTTTCCCCTCCAGGGGCCCCCACAGGCTGCTTGCACTCCTCTCTCAAAGCCCCAGTGCCTGGGGGGACCCCTTTCCACACTGCTCTCTTAACCTCCTTCCTTGCCCCATCAGGCTTGTAGGGGATAAGCTGCCCTGCTGACCAGGCCTGGGGTGAGGCACAATTTCTTGGGGTTCCTATACCTTGCGCTCAGTTTGCAAACAGCTTCTTTAGGAAACACTCCTCCTATTGCCCAATGTGAGGGGGCTGTCACCTGTCCTGACCTTGACTGAACAGTGACAGTAACCCAATGTGGTGACACCACAGCACAAAGTGCATGGATGGTCACCATATCCCAAAGACTTGGTGTAAGCAGGCTGATCCCCAGGTTTTCAGCTGACGGGAGGGGCCTTCCCCACTCAGGCAACTGCTGGGCCTCCTTCTTCGGAAATCTTTCCCGATCTCCATGGCATTTAACTACTCACTGTCCCCCTGCATCTTTACTCTGGTGGCTGTCTTACTCTTTGCCAACGTGGCCCGAAGTGACCTGTTCCATGTCCTTGCCCCCCGGCCAACTTCTGGTCAAGGAGTCAGCACAAGGGGAATAAGACACGTGCTTCTGACACACATCACGGGCCGAGTGCCCTGCTGCTTCGGCCCCCTCTCTGCACCGGGCAGATCTTTACACTCACCAGTTCAGACAGCCTCTCCTAAGGACACAGATCCGTTTCCAACACATTTTGTCACCTGTTTTATTTTTCCCCACTTTTTATTATAAAAATATTCAAACAAAAAAGATAAAAAGTGTGTTGATTGATTATCTTTATAACCAGTACCTAGATTCAATAACTGAGCACAATTTACCACTTTTGTGTATATGTCTATATGCATATACATTTTTTGTTAAGCCATTTAAAAGTAGATTGCAGACATCATGAGGCTTGAACCCCTGAATATTTCAGTATCTAACTCCTAAGAATAAGGGAATTTTCCACATAATCTCAACATTATCAAACCTAAAAAAAAAGAGAAAGAAAGAAAAAGAAAGAGAAGAAAAACTAATTCATAAAATAATCTAATATCCGGTCTGCATTCAAGTTTCCCCACTTGTCTCCAAAATGGCCTTTATAGCTTTATCTATAGAGCCAGGATCCAATCAACACACCTTGTTCAGTGCTCTATTACTTGAGTCTCCTTCAGTCTTGAACACTCCTCCACAGTTTTGTTATGACTGATTTTGGGAGAAACCAAACTAATTGTGTTATATAATGTCTCACGTTCTGGTTTGATGTTTTCTCCTTGTGATGGTGTTTAACTGGCTCCTTCATCCCCTGTACTCTCCTGAGGCATGATTAGATTCTTACACCTTTGTCAAAGGTGATGCTCTATATTTATCGTGCACAAGGGAAGGCACACAGGTGGTCGGTTACTTTTAGTCCTACTAAATTAGACACTTAGCTAACACGCAGTGGTGGGGGGTGGGGGAAGCATTGCTCCACTGTAAAGATATTTTTTCCCTTTGCAGATAACGTTGTTTGGAGATACTTTGACACCATTTGAATCTAGTGTTCCCCAGCTTTTTTCCAAAAGATTTTAGCATTGATAATCTTTGACCATCTCATCAAAAATGGGTTTGACATAAGACAAAAATTCTGTGGAACAAATGCATTCAACACCGCATATGCTAAGGTTTATGCTCATTACTGTTTTTATTCTAGAGCTAACAGATCTGACTCGGCAGAGCATAATATGGCTGGGAGAACCCACCTCCCAACCACACACACACAAATGTATATTGCAAAAATAAAAACTGTAACACTAGAGAAAACATTCTCGTATACTTTGCTAAACTTTAGTATAGCCACCTTAAAGAGGGAGTGTGGCAGTTAGATCTGCGGTGTCTGGAGGCAGCCCAAAAGATTCCTAATCTACCAACCTGTCTAACCCACCGTTTCACTACCTGCTGTATCACCAAATTTAACCGCTTCCCGCCTGTCGATCCTGAAAGTGTTCGATGCTACATTCGCAGCGGCTGCTATGGACACCCAACAGCATTAGGAGAGAGTTGTGCCCATGAAGTTTCAACGTTTGTACCAAACCACCCCCACCCCACCCCACCCCACCCCACCCCCACAGAGCAGCACCCAGGGGCAAGTGAGAGCTCCTTAGTAGAAAGAGCAGGTGGCCCTGAAAAGGGCCTTTGGTTGAGAATCGCAGCGTTCCGGTGGGGAGATGGGAATGCTCAGCCCCCGAAGCCGTAGAGGGTGCGGCCCTGGCGCTTGAGCGCGTAGACCACGTCCATGGCCGTGACCGTCTTGCGCTTGGCGTGCTCCGTGTAGGTGACGGCGTCCCGGATCACGTTCTCCAGGAACACCTTGAGCACCCCGCGGGTCTCCTCGTAGATGAGGCCGGAGATGCGCTTGACGCCGCCGCGCCGGGCCAGCCGCCGGATGGCGGGCTTGGTGATGCCCTGGATGTTGTC